AGATGTCAAGTTCTTGCTAGTAGTCACTAAGTATAGTTAGACATCTCACGTGGCTAACTGGTCCGGATTGTTGTGACTTTAGGCAAATGATTGGCTGTTAGACGTCTTTTTGGCGGGAACATGTCACTTGGCTGGCAATTATGTCATGTGGCGTTATTTTAGTCACGTGACGAAATTTTACGCGAGTTTTGTCACGTGACAAAATGGCACAACTGGATGTTACGACATTTTTTGTCAATAAAGCATTTACGTGATGTCACATGATTCCCGTTGTGCGACTAGTTATGTGGCGTTACCCGATTGTATTGTCACGGTACTGTTACGTGATTATAGGTCGCGTGAATAGTTGTTACGCGATGTTATGTATTCTTATTCACTTGATCAGAGTTGTTAAGGGATTTGACGTGACTTTTAAGTACGTAAAATAACAGACTCGCCCATCATAGTTTTTGAACTCCATCCCGGAAAAAAATTGTTGCACGTGTTTTGGTACCAAAGCAGAAGTTGGAAAGTATGAAGCGAGCTCGTGCCGCTTTTTGATGATAATGATTCATAAGCCTCAGCTTCTGAGCTTTGCCATATTCTAGGGTAACTGTAACATGTCTTAATTGTGCTGCGATGTATACAGTCGTGTACAAGTTTAGAAACCTGCCGAATTTTCTCCTGAAAGCCAAAATGCCCACAAGCCTGCCCTATGGGAGCGCCCTCTGTGCAGACGTCATGAGCCTGATGGTTGGTGACTCCGCCTTCGAAAAACATAGCTGAATGGACGAATGGGACTACTGCTTTAGTCGCGGAAGTAATCGGATGTCGCACTTCGTTCGTCTGGGTGGGTTTTGTTTTTTTTCAGACTTCTTAAGCTGTAACCACGGTGTAACCGACTATAGCGACTTTTTAGAATGCAAAAAAACATATCGCAAGTACATAGAGGACAAGACAACAGAGTCAAGGAACGTTACTTACATCTGTTGTCCCGTGCTTTTCTAAACCTTCTACGTGCTCTTAACAGTTGGAAGTGATTACCATATTGCCCAAGCGCTCCTAAAAGACCTTTGTTTTGTGGCCTCTCTGGACTTCGTCAATTTTATTCGACTACAGAGACACTGTTTGTCCAGGAGGACAACATAATTCGCCCCAGCGAATTGAAAGTTTAGTTTTGGATCGAATGCTATAACCATCCTCCCCTTCTCCGCAATGAAATGCTGATGTGAAAAAAAGGAGATGATGCTTCAAGTAAATGTTGCATACGGTACATATTAAATCGAAGTATTAAGGTTCAGATAAAGATAAGGGCTCACTAACTATTATGAAAATTACGGGGAATAATTGAGTTATTTTATTCGCATGCGCCATCTATGGCACATACCCGCTACGGAACACAACTCTAATTCATCGAAGTGTGGCAGCTTGGGCTAGTTGGTATGGCATGACGATAGTTATAGCGCGATAACAAAACGACGTGTCCTTCTTGTCTCTGTGTCGTCGTTTTGTTCTCGCGCTATAACTATCGTCTAATTCTTCGACTAATTGAAGAGGGCGGTAGTGAGCAAGCTGGTACATCGCGGGCTTACACAGAGGCTATGGAAGCCGATGACCAAATGTTACCTTAATATCAACGCAAGTGAAGCCAAAACTCTGCAACTGCTAGAAACTATAGCGAATAAAGATATCTGAACATAAAGTTAAATCCCCCTAAATGTTTTTAAAAAGGTACTCAACGACAAGGCAACATTGCTTAAGCATTTATTGGTCGCGAACAGTTGCAATGAACATGCATGTTGACGTCCAGTTTGATTCGTACCGGCGCATATCTTGCAGAGCCAGGCATTTCTCAGCTCGATGACATGATAATGCCAGCCAGCGCTTCGACATGCTACACACAAATCATGGCATTGTTTTGCTCTACCACCTCCTCCTTTATGTTTCGAAGTCAAGCCAGCAGGACATCGTGCTGAAAGTGGCCCTTGGTTCCGCCAATCAGGTGGAACATTTCGCACCCGTTAAAATACCGCTGTTTTTTAGGGCTTTCTCGTACCTGAAATACTGCTTGAGAAACATTCGCAAGACTACCTCCCTGAAGGGTTTCAGAAACGGAGAACCGTCAAGGAGGAAGGACTCCACGGTGTCGCACACCGCCACTCTGGCATTCTCGTGCCGGACGAATTGCCGGTAGCACTCGGCCGAATAGTCGAGAGATCCTCTGACGGCGTACAGGGCGTCGCACAGCGGGTCGGCAGTGAACATGGACCGCGGGGAAACGAGCAGGCTTCTCAGTGGTTGGGCGGGACCCCACGTTGACAAGAGGCTTAGCGACACGTCCCGTTCTTGTCGAGGCTCGGATGCATCTGCACCTTACCGGCGTCGGTGGTCAAGAAGCGGACGCTGGGAGGCTCGATCGGCTAGGTTGTCGGACATACAATGAGGAACCTGAAGAAAGCCCTTTCATGCGGCGTGCCGCGAGGGCCGATCCCCATGGCGGGGACGGTGGCGATATTGTCATCGGCCGTTACGATGTAGACTCGGCGTGGCGGATCGGCCGTGAAGTCGGCGATGTCTTTCTTGACTCTCGGCAGACACGGTGAAACAACGCCGCCACGTTTGTGTGGCGCCACGTCTCGAGAGCTTCCGGTCATTGCCATGTGGACGCCTGCCTGCCCGTCAGCTATCTCGCTGGCCATCGTAGATTGATGATGATGACGATTACAGTGAAGAAGCAGATACTTTTATGATGCATACCCACTTCGAGCGGGTGGGTCCAAACTCGGCGACAGGAGGCGAAAGAGAATTTTATTGAGGTAAATAGTGGCGAACTACATAACAACTTGACAAAACATATCAACGAAAGCCATACAATGTTTAAATAAATCATTAATTCACTCTGTCCTAATCGCGAAAACGTAAACATACCAAGTAGTGAGTTGTGATATCCGCGTAAACTGGTTGATCTATCTCATATATATTCTGGTGTATTGTTAAGTTCTCGTAATTTTCTGCGTACAGTAGTTATATAGCGATCTGGGGCCTAGGTCGAGAGAGAATACGGGAAATGTCCTCTTCTTCCTCATCATTGCTGTGTCGTGCGATACATGGTATCATAGCCGCGAGGTCAGATATGCGCTGAGTGTTTTTTTTTATGTCAGATATGTGCTGAATGCTTGACGTGATGAAAATAATATCAGATGGCGACAGTCACTGGGACGCAGTAATAAATAATGTACACGTAAAGCCTCTTTGTGTTCGCCGTTTCTCTTAAGGGCCAAAGGTGAATCGTATTATACAGAATGTTCCGTTATGTAATGCAAGAATAAGCTTGATTTACGGTATAATGCACAACGAAGTAATCGTGTTAATTTAAGGTTACGTGGTCTGGCTTAAAAACATCGAGAGAAATTCATTGTTTAGCTTTTCTGTAACAAGCACGTGCGGTCAGTTGCAATAAATCGTTCGGATATTACCATTGTTTACGTATTCGATTTCTTATTATTTATCAGTGAATGGAATTTCGCACCCATTGGGAAGCACTGCTTTGATAAAAAAAATGTTGTCAGAAGTGGGATTCGAACCCACGCCCACAATCGTGGACCAGAATTCCCATGCCCTTGTCCAGGGCAAGGCAGAGCCTTGAGTCTGGCGCCTTAGACCACTCGGCCATCCTGACAACTGTGCGATTAAAGGATAATAAAAGAAAACAACAGCTTACGTGTGTAGTCGTTTTAATTACACTTTGGTTCCTAAAATATTCTAGGGACTATAATTGCACGGTTTGTTGGGACTTGGCGTGCTGCACATGCACAACCTATCATGCAGTTTCATAATAATAAGGATTTTCCTAGCGCTCTGCAATTATATGATGCATGAAAACCCCCGCTGATATGAACGACTACGGACATCGAATGAGAAGATATTTAAAATTATGTCCTACTAAAGGCAACAAATGCATTTGCAAAGGTGATGCACTGGTCAAGCGTGGTTCAAATGTACGTCACACTGACGTCTTCGTCTGAACAGCAATAGTAGCTCTTAAAGGCTACGTGTTTCTGCCCTGTGTTCAACCGCCAGAGCTAAAGAACTTGGACAATCTCTCCTAAAGGAACTTCGATGGGATGCCAAGCAGCAGGGTTAAGCTCGGGTGGCGTCACGGGTTGAACAGCTCTAACGCAGTTGCTGTGGTAAGCGCTGGAAAATTCGTTTGAAGCGATGGCTTGCGTACATCTTGTAGGTGACATGTACAGACATGTTTCAATGCGTCAGGCACGTGTCAGGTTTATTCAGGTTTATTGCGCGTGAACCGAAGAGTCGGTGATGTAGCGATCGGCGGTCGCTGCAGGTGTTGTGGGCGAACGAGAAACTCTATGGTGCGAACGAACGAGGTGGCAGCTGGGGTGTGGGCGCTGAGGTGAGTGCGTGACCGGCGAGAAAGAGAGTGGCGTCAGCGCGCACAGCGAGGGGAGCGTGGCGGCATTGCGCAGCAGCGGTGTGACCTACTTGGCACTGCGCCAATATCTGCGGTATGGGGCGTGTTGTACGGGGGGACAGTGTTCCACAGGCTAGAAAAAGAACTGCTTCGCATCTAAAACGCATATTGCAACACATGGCAACACCAATAATTAAATTCTAAGGCTATGTATCTGGTGGCTGAAAATGCCCTGCGAGCGATAGCGGAACCGAAAGCACTTCCCGTTCACCATGTTTGAAGCGGGGAAGAAATGAAAAAAAAAAAAAGAACAATGCTTTGCTCTCTTAAAATAAATAATGGTATCATTTTTAAAGTTTTTGAATCAGTGACATCTTGTAGTGTTGCAGCCTCCAAATACGCAACCTTTAACATCAAAGCGAGCGGTATTAGCGTGTTTATTTTTCGTTTTTTTTTCGTTGCCATGACATTTTGAAACTCTCCTCGCAAGACTTGTTTTTTTTTAACAGATGCATGTTAATTCAGATTTCATACTATTTGATACCATCGTTTTATTCACGACATCTTTTTAATATTCTCCGGGTGCAGCACAGCGAGCCAAGTCAAGACTGTTAAGTAGTGTGTGTGCGCGCGTTGTGTACATAACATGTAAGACTGTCTTGCTTCCTATCCCTCGAAATGTCCGTGAACAAGCTGGTTCTGCCTGGTGACGTCGTGGACGTTAGTGCGACCGACGAGAAGAAATGCATTGTTGGACCCGGGCTACGCAAGGAAGGGGAACGCGTCGTGGCAACTCGAGCTGGAATCCTGAAGCACCGGCGGCCGAACACCTACTGGGTCGAGGGACACCAGAAAAGGGTATGACGGCGTGTCCTGTCCATTGAGTCGTACTTTCGCCTTGTACTTGAATGTCTGTGTGACACTTAACTCATCGACATATTGTAGTAGCTGTCTAAGCCGCTAAAACGGAGCTTGGTCACCGTACAACCCATCGCATAGTCAACACCTTAACGAAACCGCTGAAAAGTGTGCTGCAATGCTAACGCGATGATCCGGCCGTCGCTGCACATCTGCCCTGAGGCACAGTTACAAATTAAGTGAAGACCATGACGTCGACGAGTGCCGTACCCGAAATTAGCATCCTGTATGCACCTGTGTAATGATATCGGTTAAAAGGGACCCTCACTTGTAAAAGTACAGCGTTATCGGATCTATATTAAACGAAAAGATTAGCGTCCTGGTAAAATTATTCATCACGTTGCGAGCAGCACGTGTAACCGACTGGTGTAACGACGCGCGTAACTTCCCTGTAACCTCAGGCCAACGAACGTTTAGACTGAGTATATCGGCCGCCAATAATTGCGTTTACTGATTAGGAGAAATTGTCGAGGGTACGCTTTCGCTCGTTTTCGTGTCACGGAAATGCGTGTAGTGTCGAAACATTAACCAGGGTATGAACAACACTGAGGTCCTCACGTATTCTCTCCCATCTTGTGTGTGTGTGCTTTTTTCTTCTTTGTTGGTGTTGACGTAGAAATAACTGATGAATCGCTTGGTTAACTGAGCGCTTATCTTATACTAAATTAACTGCAAAGTGTGTAGTGGGTAAGTAACCTGGCTGCTCAGTATTTGAATCCTTGTAGAGTGTTTCGCTCAGCCGGCTAAATATTGCATCATTGAATGCCGGACCATGTGAGGCAGTTCTGCATAGAGTAGATGAAAGTGATTAGATGAACAGCTGCAAAATAAAGCACTAATGAAATATAATTGTGTACAACGTAACTGGGGAGACCCCGCCCGAACAGCCAAACCATGGCAACGACCGCCTGAATAAATAAACATCTTAACAAAAAAGTAATCCGGGCGAAATAGAATTCAAAGCGAGGCATCTCGGGTGAGAGCATTCCATCATAGAGCCACACTAGCAGACAGGCAGGCAAAGAACTTTGTTAGTATCTGGAGGCGACGCTCAACACCCCTTAGGGGGCGACACCAGTGGGCACCAGCACCTGGAACTGCTTTGCAAACAGACCCTATGCAGGCTTCATGTTGAGGAAGGAATCATGCTGAAACGTGAAATAGAGCGTTTTAGAAGAGTAATGATCAGACATCAGTAACAATCAAAAGTAACGATCAGGCACCACACGATGCCAATCTCATTATGAGTGATCCCGGCTGCGGCGGCTGCATTTCCGATGGAGGCGGAAATGTTGTAGGCCCGTGTGCTCAGATTTGGGTGCACGTTAAAGAACCCCAGGTGGTCGAAATTCCCGGAGCCCTCCACTACGGCGTCTCTCATAATCATATGGTGGTTTTGGGACGTTAAACCCCACATATCAATCAATCGTTACGAGTGGTTCGTTGAGTTCTTTGAAGCCATTACAAAAGCTCAGTTTCCTCATCGTCATCAGGAAGAGCATCAACAAAGTGCACGCTTCTCCGAGGATCGAATAATGGCGTAGTGGGTGCTTTGTTATTGCGCAAAAATTATGATTTATGGCCTTGTGGGTGCCATCGCAAGTGTACCTGTAGTAGTTGGCCCGAGAGTGTTTAAAAATGGCTCTAGAGAGGCCACACTTCCAGCTTACGCTGTCACTGTGCTACCTGGTGGTTTTTATTTATATTTTGCATTGCACAGAGTTTGTGGTGCACGCATGCTAGCTACCCTGCCTGAGGACAATAAAGTTAGGTCCTGTCGTGTTCAGTGAAAACCAGCAACCTATAGTTCGTTTCACAAGCTGCTCAATTTTCACTGACCCCCTCCCCTCAAGGAGCATACCTATCTCTTCACTGCAATTTTTAGTTTATAGTTTTCACAAATGTATTACTTGAAATATTTGTACATTTCACCTGAAAAAAGCCTAAATTTTGAAATGGTTCTACCAAGCATTTTTATTCTATTATCAGCTTGAGAAATAGAACACAATTTTTACCCATTGAATTTACAAAATGCAATACATGAAAACAAACAAGCCTATCTATTACAGGATCTGACACAAAATATGCTAAACTTTGCTATTTATAGCTTACTTTTGTGCAAGTCGGCGCATATTCATACACAGGTACTGTAGAACAGAGGGCTTAGGGGTGGGGACTGTCTACTGGGCTTTAATGTTTTTCACTTTTGTATCGCAATAGAAATTATAGCATTTCAATTGTTCAACCATGCCGTGGTTTTTCTGGAAAGGGAGTAGAAATCTTTTTAATGGGGGAATTTTTCGATCTGCGTTTGTCATTTGTTGGTGCGGAGGAGCCGGCAATGCTGGTTACTTTATGCGATAGCAATAGCTACACCGGTGATAGACCTAAACTATAACCACATGCAGTTTTTGCAGGCTAGTTTAGGGTTTGTTTTATAATACAACAATTATTTTAATGGTATTTTATAGCTCATAAACTACAAATAAAGTATTGTTACCCCATTCTTTCAAGCTTCGTTTAGTTTTCCTAAAAAACCACCGCAATTGAGCTAACAACTTGATGTGTTCCAGCAACAGTGGTACACCATCGTTGTTGTACAAGGAACTCTAATATTTCTAATCATGCCAAATGTACGACTGAAACTGAGATGCGCTCATAGAAGGGAACATCCTTGCTGTTTTTTATTTGTGTAGCCTGGAGTCAAAATCTTCAATGTAGAACCCACGGGGTCTACCATGTTGCTAATCAATTTTAGCTTCTGTGAATACTGACACACACTATTACAACAGAGAACTGAGGGTCATGGTTCGAAAAGTTTGTGAAGTCAGGCGCTCTTTTATTCGCCCAAGACTCTTCTTTTTTTCTTCTGAGCGACGCCAAATGCCATGCTTGCATGGCTCTCATTTCTTTGTCATATAAAAGCAGGTGAATGTGGCGTAGGAAGGGCCACTGGGTGCCTCTTCCGATGCTCGAGTTAAAGAAAAATCTAAAATTAAACTCTAGTATTGTGGAAAGCTACCAAAGATGCATGGTATGTTAAGCTGTACATATTTGTTTTAAAGCAAAATAAACCTACCTGCGGGGTTTTTGTTTGCACCAATAGTTTGAATCACATTGCCATCCGGTGACGCTAGCTGTCATACTTTCACAACTATCAGAGTGCAATTCAAAGTATACTTCTTTTTTATTGGACAAAAGCATGCCTATTGCCGCTGATGTCACGAAAAATCTTCTCATTTCACCAAAATTTAGAAAAGTTATTCCAAGTTATAGACAGTCTCTTTAGTGTAATGGTTCAATTATTGGCAGGGCTAAAGAGCCGTAGTTCTGTGTTTTGTGTGGGATGTCATTTCTATTCGCTATATATATCCTGTCTGCATGTAATTGTATCCCAGGAATTATCGTAACATACAGTGATGTAGTATCACCCATATGGACCAGAGCGAAAGTTATAGAAGGAGTTTATTGGCTGTGCATTTCTGTGTTGACGCTATGAATATAACGCAGTGAATAAGAGCAGAGAACCGTCCAGAAAGATGCCAGTGACCAGAAGCACGCAGTGGTCAAGCCCAGCACCCGAGTGTTGGCGATGCCATGAAGTTTCCTAAAATTAACTAGAGGGGACTCTGGCACTGCGATCATTCAGCGACCATGGGAATGATGGGTAGTTCACACACTTGCCTAGTGTTCATGCTTGCTGGCTTCCTACACACTTGTGGATTTGTTGATCGTTGTGTTTCAGTTTTGTTCCAAATAGAAGAACATACCGTTGTGAATATCTTGACCCGATTTGAACTGGTGAGCTTAAAAGGTTGAGGTGATGAGTGAAACTGCTGAACATTTGCTGATTGTTGTTTCGTGGCAAAGCAGCTTCAAGCCACGTGAAGCAAAATGGAGCCAAAAGTACAAAAAATAGACGACTCGGTGTACTACCCAGCATTCCCATGCTGGCTGAAGTGCCGTGCATTGCAGTTCCCATAGACAGCAGCGCCAGAGTTACCTCTGGTGCATTTATAGGAAACTCTAGCAGCAATGCTGCTGACTGGAGGCAGGTCTTCTTCTTCACAATTCGCCCCCGCCGAAGAAGACCCGTCCTGGCAACCTGAGAGTCTAGCAGCAGAGGGCTGTGGTATGGCTTGAGACGGGACGCATGTACGAGGTCGCATCCACGCAAGCGCATGTCATCAGATGGGGAAACTGTCTCAATGAGAAAATTCACTGGGGAGGTTCTCTCAAAAATGCTGCAAAGGCAGGATATAAGCGATGAAATTGGCCATTACTTAGTCTTGTCTTGCACTGTGGAAAGAGATTGAGCTAAATTTATTTTTGCGACTAGGTTGCAAGAACTATACCAGCAATGCCTGCTTTTGTCATTCTTGTTGAAATTATTGTCCTCTTTGATGTTACTTGTTGGCCAGAGGCATCGCCGAGAGAAAATAAGTGGTTTTGTTTCCATCACCAGCTAGTGAATTCAACAGACAGCTATGCCAAGGAAAGAATAGGGAAGTGTTTGTTTGGGGGCTAGTTGGTAAGACGCATTTTGTGAATATAAACTGCACTAGAGACGACACACTGGAATAGAAGTAGACGGGACCGACTCGTTCATTCTTTCTCCTTATATTCTTGTGACTCGTCTCTAGCACAGTTTAAGTTTACAAGAAAACATAGGGGATGCCAATTGTTGTCTTTATTTTTTATTCATCAGATACTCCGCAACGCCCGAAGGCGTTATAGCAGGGGGGTTACATCAATAACTGACGTACATCTCCGTTCACACACACAATAGAACTTTGTTCACACATAAATAACTGAAATACATTTTCGTTCACACACATAGTAGAATTTTGTTCACACATCAATACATCTTCGTTCAGGTTACAACACGGGTTTACAGCAGTGAATAAAATACACCTTCGTTCCCACTATGTACTTGCATT